TCAAAACTCTTAATTGTTCAGCTGACCAGCAAAATGCTCCTGTTTCTGAGTGCTAGATGTGATGTTGGAGGCCAGAGGGGCACACCACTATGCTTCAAATGCAATCACAGAGGAATGACACAATGAGTGAGAATCCTGCCAACTCACACACCTGTAGCTGAGAGCTGCCAGAGGAAGATAAAGAAGCAGCCCAGAACTGATCAATCTGCTGAAATTTTCTGGGTTGATGGTACTATAAAAATAAAGCTCAGTTGTTAACAACAACTTGGCAAACATGGTGTCATGCATGTCACACATAGCCTTAAAAGGAGCTTTCCACACCAAAAGCACATGCTTGAGGTGCTCAAATCTTCTCTCTGAAAGGAAATGCTTTTCATCACAACACTCCCCATCTTAGGCTGCAAATTCAGCTCAGTTTAGGTCTAGCAGTGTTTTCTACCTGCACAGCTAAATAAAAACACTTCCTGTGAAGAGGTCCACTCCCTTTGGAGATGCAGATCTGAAAAGATGCAGCTGCCAAGCCAGTTCTGCATTCAGAGGTTCCCTGGCAATGCCCAATTAGGGTATTTAAATAAATTCAGCCACAAGAACAACATAAATACAGGCTCAACTGCAATTAAAAGCAAACAGTCTAAACAGAAATACTTTACAGCTTAGTACAGCCTTCTGCATTTCCCAAATGGTCCTTCCCTTGAAATCTGGAAGTCTGTATGATGAGACTCAAAAGATTATTATAACATGAATCACTCAAAAGAGAAGGATATTCAAGAGTTTGACATGTAGCTATGATGCCATTCAGCTCAAATATTCTTGTCTCTTACCCTGCCTAATCTCTTGTGCAACCTGGGAGTCTCTGGCTGATACAACTGCGAGCCAGAGAGCTGAACAAAGATGGGAGATACCTGCTCTCTCAGCATGCAGCCACCTGCCTTAGCCAGCAGGCACTACACTGCACACCAGTGGCACCTTGCTTTGCACCTTGTGCACTTGCAGCTAATGCCAGCTACTTCAGTGCAGTCTACTGCTCTGGTGACCATTTAATCATTCAAAACTCTGCTCTTTTTATGTTTTATAAACAACCAGGCAGTACACATGGGTAAAAAAATTTTAGTAGAGGCTGCTAAAAAGTAATGAGACTGAAGGAAGATTGTTATTGCTGCTAATAATTATTGAGACTGATTCTTGAAGAATGCTACACCTCATTTAAGATTTTTATTAAGAACATTAGAGAAAAAGAAAAAGCGGGTATTTATTGACAACACTAAACCAAGAGAAACTGACCCATTGTGTATTGACCCATGTCAATACACAAAGCACAACAAAGTGACGGTGGAAAGACTGGAGTAAGAGACATAATGACATTGAAAACAACAAGAATGTGCAAATAAACTTCAGCAAAAAGGTGTTATGAATTCCTAAATGCTGTGGAAAAAACTTCTGTTGACAATAAGAGAGAAGGAACAGCACATGCATTATGATGGAGATCACAAATCAAAACCAGAGTGCCACTAGAGAGAAAAGGCAAGGGAAATCCTACAGCTTTTCTCTCTTAAGGAAAACACTTTCCACTGTGAAAAGAGCCACTGCACAAGGCACTAGCTGATTCTCCACCAGAAAATAAAAGTGTGCCATTGTGATCAGGTTTACAAAAATAGAAACTGGAACAAGCACACAGAAAAATTTCTAGGCTAAAACAGGAACAGAGGAAAGTTTCATGCAAAAGAAGAGTTTGACTAAAGGGTCATAGCCATACAAAAAACTTCCAAAACCAATTGACTGCATGCTACAAATGCATGAAAAGTAAGCACAAAAGAGAGGGGGACTTTTCTCACCCTCAAAAGTTGGCATTGACACTAAAATAAAAGGATATCAAGTTGGCCATGAATGGGGTAGTGCAGAACTCATGAGACCTCTGTTAACCACAGGAGAAATACTCTACAGCTACTTTTCAGTAAGAGTAACTCCAGTATAATAGTCCAGTAGATTTGTTAGAGTATACACTGATATACACAATTGCTTCCAGAAAACCACTGAAGGTGGAAGGGAGGATTATTCTTGTATATGTAAGCACAACTGTCATGCTAAAATGAGACCAAGTTGCTGAGTTTTTCTTCTCATAAGCTCACCATTTGACCACAAATATGTAAAATATGACAAGTATACTCCTTTACTTACATACTGAAGTACCACAGTTAAAAGGTCCTACCTACCCAATGCTTTCTAAATCAATCTCCCCACTCTTTCCTTAACAGCACAAAAAAATCCTCAGAACTTCTCAACAAGGATCAGAGATGAACAGAACAGAAACATCAGAGCTATGCTGTGTACAAACTTCAGGCATATCCACTCTGAGCTGGAATTGAATCTATACTGCTTCTTGTGGGCAATGCTGTGTGCTCCAGCCATCTGCCTGAATGAGCCTGGGAATAAAAACAACTTGGTAACACCAAAACTTCAGTTAAACAAATAATTCTCTTCCCCCTTGCAGTGTTTAAATGATAATCCCTCCAAATCCCTGGCTGAGCTGCTGACAGACAACAGGCAGAAATGCATGGGCTTGCCCTCAGCAGAAGCAGGAACTTTCTGGCCTCACCCAGCTGTATCCAGCAGTGCTGGATAAATGAAAGTTCAGCCAAATGAAAGGCATGCACACAACTCCTCTTACCAATCAACCAAAGCCTAATTTACTGGCTCTCTCTCCCAGCTGTGTTATTTTCATTTGGATGTGACAGAACAATTCAGCCAGAAAACCTTTACTGATGGAGTCCCATTTTCTGTCACTTGCCCAGAATGTTCCCATCTGTCACACTGTACATTTACCAATCAATGCCATTGATCTGTGGCTGGCTTAGTTCATCTGCTGACCAAGAAAACCACTGTCAGCACCACGGTTCTGGAGTGGCTCTTTACTGTAATTAAATGTGTGTGGGCAGGGGAGGAAGCACCCACAAGGACACGGCAGAGGGCACAGAATGGATTTCTAAATTGTCCTAAAGCACCACTGATTTAACTGGAACTGACAGGACACACTCAAAAATGAGGACATGACCTGGAGGTATATTTGGTGCAATGACATGAGGAAAACATGTATAGTATAGTCCAAACAAATCAGGAAAATCAAATCAGCAACCAAACTAATGGGGAAATGTTGGCTAATTCAACTGACAAGATCCAACAAAACTGATTCCTAGTCTTCCCTCTGAAAACCTGGAAAACATTCAAGATCTACAAGATCTTGAGAGGTGCTTCTCTGCTTCCCTAACAACTAATTAAAGGGCTTAAAACTGCAATGTGCAATACCTTGCACTGTTAACAGGCAGTAATCATTTACCTGAGTGAGTTGCTTTATGAATATGGTCTGTCTGAATCTTTCTCTCACATATGCACACACAGTATTTCATTGAAATTATGCCAATTATTTTATCTGTCATGCTTTGACTTTTATGAATAAACAAATCAAACTATATTGGAGAGTGGTGGGAATAGAAGGGATAAAAATATATTTTTAATTCTGGGGCAGGGAAAAAGAGCATCAGCAACAAATTTTCTGTCAATAAATCCTTGTATTATTCAATAAAAATATTCATACTATATAGAAGATTCATATTGCCTAGTTGGACACAGGCTAAAGTCAGTAACAACAATCTTGTTACAGAAAAGTAAAAATACACCTATAACTGCAGTAAATATACACCTACTTTACACACAGTAATTGCATTTCATGTTATGAGTTTCTTCTCATCACCAATGCTACCTGCCTAAGATAAAGTCAACAGCTAGGAGGGAAAAATAAGAACAACTTTTACCACAAGTATCAGTAAAGTGTAGAAGGATATATAAAAATGAAGGTTTTCTGATAAAGTGAATTAGGTTCCCTGCCAGAAACAACAAACAAAATTCTGACTCCCCCTCCTTTGCCTCAAAAAAAGTGTGTAAGACTACTGAAAGGATTAACAGCAAGAGTTTCCACACATCACTTCACAATAAACCTGCCTTTTACCGAGTGCCTTGTCCCTGACACAGGGATGTCAAAGCAGACAAATACCCATGCAGGGCAGGGGCAGGTCCCAGGGCAGACAGCAGCCCTGTCTCCTACCTGTTTGCACAGCTTAGAGCTCTCAAGGCTGAACAAAAGCAACAGGCAGTTGATTTCTTTAGACTATTTTTACAGCTTGAAAGTAAACTTCAAGGCTGCATAATATTAAATATTTGCAGACTGACTGAACAACTCATAGCATTCCCTGCCTGTCTCTACTCTTTCAGTCTGGAAACAAAGTCCAACCGCTGTTTCCACACAAGGAAAATCCAAGTTCCTACAGGGCGCATTCAATGTAAAATAACTTCTTACAGTGATTCAAAAGCATGAGAGAATCTTTCAGCTGTTCTTCTTTATTTCTCAAGGTCTTTACTTTCTATTTAATAGGGAACTAAATTTTTTTTTGTTGTTTAATCTTAAACATGAGCAGACAGAAGAAAAAGTGAAAGTTTCAATCAACCTTGACCAGTACCTAGTAGACAGTGCCATACTGAATTCCACCTCCACCTTTTAATTGAGATAAAAATCTGTGCAAAAGCAAAACTAGGCCAATAAGGAATCAGTCCTCCATTTTCTACTGGTCTTCCAATGAGACCTTCCATCTACATTAAAGGTGTATCTGTAGTCAGACTGTGCAATGCTCATAGGAATTCACGATAAAACCATTCTCCCTCTATAATTAAATCCCAAGAAAAAACATTCCCAAATGCATTTCACAGGAGTAAAAATACAGCTGTAAAACCTGATCTGTTTCTGGTTTTAAAGTACCTCACATGTGCAGTGAGGTTCAGCTTATACATGGGGCAAAATTGATCGTGTAAACACCTCCTGCAAACCCAGAGACCAGGCAAGGGAACTCAGAGCTCCTGAACAGACCAGATGCAGTTACTGTCTACAGCTGGAGAAGAATGCAAAGATAAAAGCCAAGCTCCAATATATGAATAAAACTATACTTTTAACATACCAGGCAATATTCTTCCAATAAGAGCATCTAGTAACCAAAAAGACTCCTCTTCATTCTTTGTAATAAGAATCAGGTATCCAGCAATGAAGTTCATGCCCTGAAATAGAAAGGTTTTGAGATGCATGCACTTATCTTAAGAGTTTCTAGCTTACTACTTTTGATTAAGGGCTAAATTACTACAGTTCTACAAAGTCTGCATATTCAATCAATTCTGGTAATGAAGGCCACTGGTTGAGTAACCTGCTGAACCTGCACACAAGAATTATTAACAAAGATCAAGGAGAGGAAAATTAAAAGAAAAGGCTTAGCAGTCTACACTTTCAATTTTGCCTTTTTTTTTTTTTTTTTATTCTAAAGCCCAATGCAACTGAAAGTGGCTGTTGCTTTGATCAGAACCCAAACACAGCTGTATTAGATGAGCACTACAAACACAATAAACCTGCAGGTAGATAGTGAGGCTGCAGGAGGAGAATGTCTGACCCAAACACATAAAGCAAAATGTTGCAGTTCCAGCAGCTTTTAGAAGCTTTTGCTGCTTAACTCACACAAAGGCTGTGTACAAACCATTTTCTTCCATAATACCTCCAGTCCTCCACAGATACATATAATAGCACTGATCCTGCAAGGAGACCAGATGTGCAAAGAACCCACACAAGGGTCTTTCAAGTGTTCTTCTTTCATTAGCCCATTAAACAGTACAGGTACCAAAATATTTTATTAACAATTGGACATGTAGAAGCTACTATGGTTTAGAAGTTGTGTGTTGTTGTTGTGTTTAGCCACCTCTATATAGAAACCTGACACTTGCAAAATGGAGTATTCATAATTCTACCCCTTCTGTTATTATCAACATATTATAGTTATATTTTGATAAATAGGTATTACTTAAAATAATATAAATCATTCCTCTTTTTACGAATGGAAGTAAATTTCTGTACTAAAACTAGTTGGGGTACACAAGAAAAAAAATTTATTTTCAGAGACTTCATTGCACATTTAAGTCCCTCTAAGTCTTCTCCTCTCAAGATTTAAAAAATACTGTTCATATTCTTTCAACTTTGGAGTAGTTGTATTTACTACATAACTTTCTCAGCTAAAATGAGCTATATGTTAGCACACACATTCTTGCTCAGGAACCGGAGGAGACAGGAGAGAACTTAATAAGTGAACTGAAAGCACATGTTGCTGATAACAGTGCCTGGTTCTGTAAGATCCTTAAAGAAAGACACATTTTTTCTTGACTGTCAGACTATCATGAATCAACTTATGTTCTTTGTGTCCCACAGGAAACTCTACAGTACTTGACAGTGACAACAGAAGCGTTCCTGAGCTGCCATCAAAGCAATCTCAGGTTGAATTTCAAAGAAGCTTTCTTCCTACTTGTATTATCTATACTGGGAGATGGCACTAAATAATGCTATCAGCCCCCAAGCACACGATACCACATTAATGCTGGTCTTTCTGTACTTTGAAAAATGTGACAGTGAAAACACAAGAAACTGAGATCTCATGATGCCTTGTAGATACCAAGGACTGTGTGGGGAAAGCTGGCAGGACGAGGGAAAGGCAAGCTCACTCCCTCTTGCTCTCCAAAGCAACTACTTATGTTGCAGCTAACAAATGGAACCGAATTATCAAGCTGGCTACAAGAAATTCAGAAGGATATCTGAATTTGCCTGAAGCTATTCATACCCTGCCCCCCCACCAAAACCTCTCAGGGCCAGTTTATTAACAGAAATAGTTTGTGAGTATGCTTCCAAAACATACATTCAAATGGACAAGAGCAGTCAGCACTGGTGAAATGCAGCAGTGTTTACAGAACAGTGATTACCCACCTGACAATATCCTACTGCTTTATTGTGATGCCCATATGCTACCAACACGTTGTAGAGTGCATGTTGCAAACATGGATCGGCGGTTTTGCGGAATTTTACATTATCTGGAAATGTTCTGTTCATGTCTAAACAAAAGGGAAAAAGACCAAAATTAAGAGCTGTTCCTTGTCAGTTTCCAAAAAAAACTTTTATAGGTCTTCTGAAGTACAACTGAAGCTTCACTACAGTTCATTGAACTGGTGTTTTGGTGGATTAATGTTAAGAAACAGCTTTACCTCCATTTTGGCTAAAAGGGCACTTGCATTCAAGGATAATCTATTCCTAGAAAGAATAATCCTATTAGTGTACAGAAACCAATTTCAAGCAGACCTAAAGAAATTATCCTGCAGACTGAACTCCTTCTAGGTCTGCAAAGGCTTAAATGAAAGCAAACCAGGTATTTAGACTGACAGATACAAGACATGCCAAACTTCAAGTCAAGTGGCATGACATGAGTTTGCCTCTAGGAAAGCACATTCTCCTAACAAATCAGATGAACTTTCAATTGACTTACTCAGTGAACTTCTACTAAACAGCAGCAGCCAAAAAACCCCAGACCTGTTCCCACAACTGCCAACTTCCACTTAAAAATCCCTTTTTAAAATTTAACTTTCTCCATGATGTGAGCATGAGAAGAGTTGTATCTTCACAGGTGCAAGATCATCAAGAATGGGAGTGGTTTCTGATAACCAAGCAGCAGAGCACATTCCCACATGCTTCAAGCCCAGCTTAAGCAAGTAAGGAGTATGTAATTATTACTGACATTTCCAACCATTAACTTCTTTCAGACCAAATATTAATAGTAGGATTCATCTCTCCTTATAAAGGTCTAAAAACTAGACACGCAAATTTGATCTAGTCACCCCAAAACAGCCCTTAGTTGTTGGAAAAAAACAGAGAGAGGTAATTTTTGGCCTGCTTCACTCCATAAAGAGAAAACCCAAGGTCACTGGCACAGAGCTGTGCATTTGATCTTTAAATAGAATTTTTCTCTCCAACTTAACCGTCTAAAAGTAACTGTGCAGATTTTCAAAACCCAAGAGTTATTAATAAAATATGAGTAGTTGTTTGGGTTATATTTAACAACAACAAATTGGGTTAAAGTTAAAAACAAACTTCAGTAACAGCACTTCTGTACAGATCTTCATGTCCTAAGAATTATCACTTTTTATCAGCCTTTTCCGGCATAAAGGAAGAAGTCTGTTACAGCTTTGACACAAAGTCCAGCTATAAGCAACCAAAGGAAAGGAAGAAAGCTCCCCAAAATCGTGATTAGTGTAGTGGAAGTCACATGCATGACGAAGTTATCACACTAATTGCTATCTCTTCCTTTTAAAGGGAACAAATCATTTGCAGGAAAATATTTCACTTCACCTTTCATGTGTATGAGAAGAAAAACACGAAGAAAAAGACAATTTTTGAGAGGACCTGAACAACAGATTGTTGCAGGATAAATAAATTTCTTTTGTTTCTTCTAGGTAGGAAGATTATGTGGCATAGTATTTGCATAATCAGAATTTATTCTTTATTAAAGCAGATGTGGAATGTTAAAGAAAAGATTAATGCTGAATTTTAGCCATGGCTCTTCTCCCCAGGTATGCAGAGAAAGGGTGAGGGGAGAGTAAGGAAAGTGCATCACATACAAAGCAGGGACTACTCAAACTGAACTCATCTGTAATTTCACAGCCTGCAATTGAGACAATCAGCTGAACTTGTTTTCTGATTGCAGAGCATGTTTTTTCCCACAAGGACTGGGAGAAGCCTTCCCTAGTTTTATGAAGGATTTAAAACTATATTTTAGTAAAAATATTTTAGTTTAGGGTAAGGGGATGGAGAGAAAAAGCAAGATACAAGAGCTAAAAAGCTTTACCCTTAATAGAAGATATGGAGCATGGTCTTACAGGACTCCTTGTGCCAGATTATTCCTTTGAGCACAAGAGCAGAGGGTCCCATTCCCTCTCCATCCTGCCCTTCCTGCTCCATTTGCATGATCTCCCTCCTCCTCCTCCTCCAGTTCTGAGGCTCCTCTGACTCAAGATGAGGAACTCAGCCCCCCACAGGCACACACAGGCCAATGTTTTACCATGGTGCAAGATGAGGGCCAGAGATGACTTGAGGCAAATGGAAGGAGCAGGCAAGGGCGGTTCTTTTGGCTTCACCACTTACATCCACTTTAATCCATCTGTTCCAGGGGAGACATACAAACACCTCCTTCTCATGCTCTGCACAGCCTACCCTCTGACCTACTGTGCATTAATTTACTTTGCTCTTAATAGACACTACTGTCCAAAGGAACACAGCCTCAAACTAGTACTGTTTTGGGGAAAAAAAATCTGAGTTCTTTTCAAACAGCAAAATGAACATTAGAATCTTACACTGCTAGATAAATCCCAAAATTATGACCATCTTTTCATGTGCAGATCTGCTGCTTATAAGTAAACTAGGTATGGGAGCACAGAACCAGGAAGGAGGTAACAATGAAGAGATTAGCTACTCTATTGTTGTAAATTCAGATTAAATCCCAATAGCAATTTTTTTACAATCTTTCCGCTCTCTGAGCTGGCCATTTTATGCTGCTATAAAACAAAAACAACCACCATCTTTCCTGCTGATTTATCTTTGTGCAGCAACCATGAGAAGACCACTGAATTCTTTCTTCCCTCTCATGAGTCTGCAGTATTTCAACCTCATTCAGTAAGACAAACAGGCAGAATACATTAGCCTCAGTTTATAAAACAGATGTCTATTTTGGTACCAAGAACCACAGTCATTGATGCTATTTCTGGAGCAGAGAGATTTGAAAGCACAGTCCAGAAAAACAATGCTTTTAGAAACAGTCTCGTGCTTTTCCTACTTAGGGTACTTCAGAAGTCATGCATCTACAAGACAACCTTCACACCACTATCTCATCCTTCCTTTTTGTCCACATCCCAGCCAGGACAGAGTTAATTTCTGCCGTGGCTGGGAGGGGGTGTGGCTAGAGGGCCTGGAGGTTGTTCTATGCCACCTGACCAATGCCAGGGGCCTGGCAAAGGGACTGTCTTCCAGGGAGAAGGGGTTCCATCCAGTTGAGAAAGTTGCAGAGGGAGCCACCTGGTATTGTCTATTATCCTTTGTTTTCTTTCTGTGTGAATTGTTTTATATACCTTTTGTTATTGATATTGTTGCTGTTACTGTTCATTTTCTTATCTCATTGCTGTTTCCAGTAAATTGTTCTCATCCCAACCCATGATCTTTGCATTTTGTCCCTCCAACTGGAGGTGGGGAGAGGAACTGGCACATGCTTTTAGTGGGAGTGCTAAACTGAAGAATACATTTCCTAAACCATGGCACCTTTACTTTCATATCCTTGGTACTTCCCACTCCAAGACACAGGTGGTCAGTAAATTACACAAGTATTTTTATAACTAACATATCCTACTCCACTTAAGTTCATTTTTTACCACTGCTACATCTGTGATGCACATCTGCTCTGAAAAGCTTCCAGACAGGTGATCTTTTCCTTTTTTTACATAGTAGAGAGCAGAGCAAAAATTCACTTCAACTGTCAACTACAAGCACTCAAAAACTCCACTGCAAATAATGGGGTTAGGCCATAAATTGCAACTTGTAAAAACAGTATACTTAAAGAGTGTTTTAGATTTGTTATAACTGGGTGTTTAGCAGTCATCCTCAAGCTTTTTCCTGCCATACCTGGAACTATAAATTGTTTTGGAGGCTTGGGGGGTTTGTTTGTTTTAAGTTAAGGCCAAGTTTTTCATTAACTAAAGTCAGAAAAGCTGACCCTCACAACCCCCACTACCAAGCAACAGTTCAAGAGCTTTTAGCAATCAAGAAAGCCAACAGGGTTAGGATTTCCTACAAAAGAACAATATTGCCACTGTATAAATCTGAGAAGCACATGCATAAATTCCAGCCCCCTTCATTTCCAAATGATGATACCAGAATTAGAGAAATTACAGAAAGAATGGCAACAAGGAAGACCTTAGATATAAAATGGCTACCTTATATAGCATAAACCCAGGTGGATAAAAGCTATTTAGTTTAGAGGGAGATGCTTAACAGCATTGAGACTGCACAAATGTGCAAAATTATGTGCAATTTTTAAAAATTTTTTCCCATCTAGCATTATTAGGTACAAACATGCAGCATGTCTTGACAACTCTCAAAACAGCAGATAACTGGACATAGGAAAAACATTCTGAGGAAGTGTCACTACGCACTTTACTCCTCCAGTTCTTCCTTCAGCTGTTCTAGTAGACCAAAGACCACATGAGGCAGCTGTTTGGATACAGCCTGTCAGGGCTCCTCTAACAGAGAGCCACAAGAGCTGACAGCGCTCTTCCCCTTCCTCTTGCATGGCTAAATGCTTTAAACTCACCTGAAAATTCCCAACTTCCACTCACAATTTCAGAGATGCTTCCGAGAAAGCTTCTTAGTGCTTAGATAGTAAAATATTCCCTGTCTCCAGTGAAATGGCAATGACCATTGTTTGAATTACTGTCAGCACAGCTCAAGCTCTGGGACTGACTGTTAAGTATAACATTGTAGGCTTCACAGCACCTGCAGTTCCTCCTCATTAAATGAAAGAGTGGAAACACAGATTAGCTGCATGTACCTGCTTGAGCACTTGCAGACACAGACACACTTCTGTCCAATAGCATGTTTTTCAGTGGAGAGAAAGGATGAGATACATGAGCTAAAATTCAGAACAGCCCAGCCTAAACGAAGCGTACCCCAAGGAAGCTACAACTTACAATCCAGTCTTACAACATCATTTGTCCTACTAAGTTTTCATAGAATAGGGCATGTAAAACAAAGTGTTGCTGGAATGCATGCCCTTCTAAATGTGTACATAAACTAAGACATGAAAATTTAGACACCTGCATTCTTTTAGCTCTTTCTTAATGGTTAGAGTAAGAAGCTTGCTCCCTTCTACATTTTTCTTAATAAAAATGTTCAAAGAGCAATTACCATATAAAACAAAGTAGCAACAAAGCTCATCAGATCAGAATCAGGAAGTTAAAGGGCAAAAATGGTGAAGGAACAGATTACAGATTTAATTAGCTGAAAGACTTCCGTTGCTATAAATAAAAATCTGCTTAGTAAAAGATTAGACCATTTCTTCACACAGTCTACCTGCCCTTTTCAACTTGATTATACCACATTAAAGAGTTTCCCATATGAAAACTAGTTTCAAACATACATGAAAATTGTTTGCAGCTTCTGGGTATGTGAAAGAAAGAGGACACATTGGCTCTTATACATTTTAAATTGAATTTGAAATAAAGTCTTTGGTTGGCTTTGTCCTTCTGCCCCTCCCCCAGGAAAAAAGAAAAAGTGTGATTGCTGTTCTCTTGTTTATAAACCCCAGCACTGTGCTGGGCTGTAATTTCACAGCTATGGGAATAAATACAACACTGTTGCCTGAAAATTCTGGAAACTGCAAATATGAAAGCAAACAGCAATACAATTCCACATCTTACCTTGCTTTATTATTAAAAGCAACTACAGTAATGGGAGAACAGCACTTGAAGAAACAAAATCAAAGTCAGGCAACAATTCACACAAAGAGTCCTCAGCCAAAGCCCACTATAAAATGTGCACAGTCAACAGGAGTATAAGTTCATTAAACACACTAACCAAAAAGTTTACATTCACCTTAAGTACTTTGTTCCTTTCATCCCTCCTATGTCCACATTGGTTCTTCCTTTCTGAAGGAGGAGTGTCTGAGGTCTTTATTATATTTTTTCCCCTCCAATAAAACCTTCCAGGCCATTTTTATTTATCTTTTCCTTCACTTGCTCCACATTAATTTTCTCTTCTGCAGTTTTCCAATCAATGCAGTAGCTCTTCTGAAACTTTATTTCCTCTACAGTTCACAAACAGATCTTTATCCTCTCCCAGTATTTTTTCTCCTCTACAAAAATATTTTTATTTCATTTTAACCTGTGGGGAAAGCCACCTACAGACCCTTCCTGTCTTTGTCTAGTACTGGAGAAAAGTTGTTTTCAACTCTCTCTTGCAACACTTTTACCTGAACTGAATAGTTTGATGCTTCTCCAGACCCTTACCAAGGTGGGCTTTAGAAAGTCATCTTACTAGCTCCCTCTTTATTCATAGGAAGAGCTCTACTGTTTCTAGTTCTGAGCAGGATATAAGCCTGCAGATTTCTGGCTAGTCTCCATATTCATAGGAACATGAAATTTATGCTCCAAAATACCTAACTAAGGCGTGTAGTCCCAAAAGCCCAAAGTGCTGCTGTTGCGGGGAAAGGCAGAGAAGAAACTCTGCATAAACCAGAAGGTTTTGGATGCTTATCCAACTTGAAAAAAAATCCACAAGACCCAAACTTTAAGTACCTGGGTTTTTGCAAGAGAAAGAAGACAACCTGCCTTTCTAACCAAACAACCTCAGCATTGTTCTGGAGCAGAGCCCAACCTCTTGACTTTTTAATTGGACGATTCAGCCAATATCAGCTGGGCCACAAAGGCTCTGCTGTAGCAGGTTTCAGGACAAGTATCACTTACATCAAACTCCTACTTGTTTGTCCTCACCTACTGCCTTTTTCCTCCCAGTGGGCCAGCCTAAGGTCTGGGTGCCCTTATACCCTGCCATCAGTACTGGCCATTGATCTATGTTCACAGAAAGCACACATGAAAACAGATTAGTAGAGGAGGGGTGTTTCACCTTCTACATTTCTCCCAGGGATTTACATTTAGTGTTTAATATGTCATGCATCAAGTGGATTCCCCCACCTCTCAGTTCATCAAATTCCTTTTCAAACCAGTTCATACTTCTAACCTCCACAGCACAGTAACAAGCGCCACAACTCTTCTAAACCTGCAGCACAACAAATTTCATTCAGTGTCCTTGGTTCTTATTTTACAAAAACCAAATAACAATTGCTCCTTATTCACCCTCTTTGCACCATTTATAATTCATATAAATCTATCAGCAGCTTTTTCTTAGCTGTCTTCTTACTCAACCAGAAATCCTAGCATACTTCACCTGCCTCATATGGGCCTCTGTGCCACACCTTCAACCATCCCTGCTCCAGTGTCCTACGGGACAGAATTAAGGAGAAACAGACTCAAAGGCAGATGTCATGGCTCAAAGTTACAACTCTTCAATCACTTAGATGACACTGCAATGTTTTCTAGTTTATTTCTTCTCAAATAATTTCTAATCTTTCTTAAAAACATTCCTTAATGCTTTTAACCACATGGTGAATCTGGAAAGATCTGTTCTGTTAAAGAGCTTATGGCTAATCTAATTTAAGTGTTAATTCAGCACTTAAACCACTACTACAGAAACATTAAGTTTTCCATTACATAACTTGATCTCCAACACTTAAGGCCATAGGATGGATAAATACAGACAAACAGCATTATCAAGAGAATAACCTGTTTTGATTGCTTCAAGCAGCTTGGCATTCTTCTCTCCTTCAAGCAGTCTGTGGTAATACCCAGGGTTTTGTTCCATGTTGGTTTGGGCCCCACTCACAATCATCCAGACCAATGCACGGTGTTCATTGGGGATGCCTTTCCTGATATATCTCTTCACTGCAAGACAAGAAGTTTGGTTTTGTTTGTTCATTTTTAAAGAAATAAAAAAATATCCAACTGTATAACTGTTTTTTAAATGAACAACCTGAATTTAAGAAGTCAGAGGAAAACTCTTGACTGGATATTATTATATTTTCTCTCCTATGCTACCATTTTAGGATAAGCATTTACTTCTCAGCTGCATAGTATATTTTAGATTCACTCCTAAGTTCTTGTCACTCAGACCCCCCTCTCAGATCTTCAGGCTCAGGTTTTCCTCCCTCCTCTCTTTCCTTGCGTGAATTCTGAATATTTTCCTCTTCTTCTGCTTTTCTGCATGGAGATACAATCAGCAAAGCTTCCCCCGTGATCTTTGTCCTTTTTCATTCAGACAAGCACTGACTTGACTTTTCCTACATCACCAGTGGCCTCTGAAACCATGGCTCTGCCCATTTAGCTCTAGCATCAATGGCCATGTTACCATAACCCTAGGGCTTCAGCTCAGCACCTGACCACTGAATACAGCAGAAACTGAGGATTATGAAATATGTGCCTCCAGTCTAAATGAGCCCTGGAAAAACTGGAGTGATGTGAGTGAGCAGCAGCTGACTTTTTCCTAGAATAACTGTGGAAGTCTTTTCAAATCTAAAGTAGCTCTTATCTCCTCCATCATTTTCATCATAAGGGTGTGCTTCAGGGGTTTTTTTTAAAGCAGATGATTCAGTGTAAATAACTATGATGTAAAATTACAGGAAGAAGCATCAGGCTAATGGCAACGAGAGCAGCCTCCTCCTGGGAATGGCATGAAAAATATTAATAAGGAGTCAATGCTGCTTATGGGTACATAATCCTAAATCAGCTTTACCTTTTCTGACTCAAAATGACAGCTGAATGTTTGAGATTCTTCTCCTTTTTCCGCAGAGAAGAAATGAATAACAAATGAAACAGACATTTTGTGCTAAATGAATCATGTTGTATCAATAAAAGCACCAACTTCTCCTCTCTAAATTTTATGGGATTCAAATCCAAGTGGGAATTTTTATTCCACCCACACATTACCACACACAACATCACTACCTAGCCAGGTTTTATTGAATCACACAGTTCTGTAATAAATGCTGCCTAAATTAAAGGCCTTAAAAACAACAGAGTGAAGCAAGGTTGTACAACTCAGCCAGACACCTTCCAAATACATTGCAGCTAATTACAGCTGCCTATCCTTTAGGACCCAAAGCTGCTTCCCCTGTGTCACCAACATAAAGATGCACATATAATGAGCATTTCACCCACCTAAAATCTGGTGTTTTCTCTCAAAGAAGCATATTGGTAATAAATGCCTGGTCTGCAGGGTACAGTTTTTGTTTAGCTTTTCAATGAGGATTTATATTACGTGTTACACACTCTACAGTTCTAGCTGTAGAGTTACCTTAACTACAACCTTCTTTTAGACTGGAAATAATTCATTTGTTTCCATGGTGGTTTAATAATCCCCACTTCATCTCTTTTACAAGATTTTGGACTGTAATGCTCAAGGAATCCTATAAATCAACATAGCAAATACAGGAATGACTATCAAGAACTAGTTCCATTTAGGTTAACAAGGGACATTCAGATGAGCCTAGAAACAAACTTACTGCCTTAAATACTGGGTTATAGCATTTTAGCACATAATCCCAGTGGCATTTTTTTCTGGAAAAACTGTAAATTCTGGAAGCATAGCCAACATTGATATCCAACAATACACATGGACAAGCCCTTGACAGTGGCACAAGGGGAAAGCAGCCTGCAGCACAGCACAGCCTCATTATTTCTCAGTGTCATCATTCTCGTGGCTGTAGACAGCCAGGGGTTTGTACCACCCCAAGTGACTACTGACCCAGCTCCCTCACTCCCTGAGGAGTGCAAAGCCCTTTACAGTGGGCTTTTTTCCCCTTACACCATTACAATACTTGCTAGGATCTGCAAAGTGGCATTCAGAAGCAGCAAAATAGTTCTGAAAAGGAGGACAGCTGCAGTTTAATAGATATCATTGATATGTGTAGATAGACATAGATATATCATATTCTATAAAGAGAGTTGTGTTTATACCAACATATATAAGCTCTCTTCCACGTTATCCTAGGGAACTAAGAAGCCCACAAGAGCAGTTCACACTGCAGAATACTCTCCCACTGTAACATCTGAGAACTTTCCCAGATGAAGCCAGATTGTACATGGGTCTCCACCCATACATGCAATACCAGTTATTAACCAAGGGCTTGATCTCTAAAGCAGCACTGTTGAATACCCCCAAGCCCTGCACCCAGAATCACTCCCAGGATATAGTAGGTGGTCTAAATTCTGGACCATACACAGGTAAGAAATATCTTTGGGCAAAATTTTGGCCTCTGTTCATTAACAGAATATGAAACAGCAATTTTTAGTGGGGGGAAACTCTCCCCCCTCTTCATAATTCAATTGCCTCTGACACTTAGTGCCAGTTTCACAAGTTTAGAGTCACACTTTATGAATGTGGTTTCCTTTTTACAAGAAAAAACAGCTACCTGATAGGGCAGCAGTCTCAAAGTGCAAAGTACCTAAAGTAACTTCCAAGAGAAAAATATGCAGAAAATAACATTTCTCTAATACTGTACAATACTTAGAGTAACAAGATGTAAAAATAAGTAATTTCAACCTGTCTGTCCTTGTTTGATGGTAGGATGTGAGAATTTTGGAGACTTCTGCTTCAAGGCAAATGTTGCATTGTCTTTTGCCCCTATTAATATTGTTTCACTCCACAGCATAGACTCAAGTTTATGTAGCAAAAAACCCCTAAACATTTAAAACTAAAACTTATCTCATCTTAAAAATATTTTTTGAGAAGCATCTGCACATCTACTTTTTCAGGTACTAACAATTATATTTGAATGTGGAGGAAATACACTTGTGCTTAGAAGAATTCTGTGGAAAAGCTGGAAACAGCATACAAGGAACTGAAAGCTTTATTTCATGAATACATAACAGAAAAAACCAAAGCACGTAAGTGATGTAATAAAGTTCCAGTCAAACTGACTTTCTTCCACCAAGCCCTGGAACAGAAACAGTGGTTGTAACATGAGCACTTAATACATTTATTTTTCCCTTTCACTGTATTTTATCAAAGATCAGAAAATATCTTCTGCTACTGGTCACTTTTGACTAGGACACCCAACAGACAAATTGCTTTGTGTAGCATGATTTTGGTCAGAATTAGGATAGTTTGAGCAATTATGTAAACAGAGCAGAAAGCTGTATTTTGGTCCCATAAAGATAGAATTGAATAAAACGAGGAAAAAAAATTGGAGCATCTCAGTAGTGGCAGAGGGAGAGCGAGACAGAAAGAAGGGAAGTGACAAACAATGATTAGAAACTCTCATGTGCAGTGGAAACAAGGTGAAGATTGGGGGATGAACACAACAAAATACCAGAAAAATAATAAAAAGGAAGAGACTGGAGAATGAGTGAAAGGAAGTGCCACCCAAATTCCCATGACCCACCCTACCAGCAGGCTGCAACACAGAACAACAGAATGCACTGCTTAATTACCACTGTTAAAAGGTAGTCTAATCCTTTTTTTTATAGTGGAACAGAATTATACACATACAAACCACCCTGAATATGAGGCAAGCCCAGCAGCATGTGAACAGGCCACATTTCCAGACTGGAAAATTAACACAAATCATCACTTCTTCCTGTTGGCCTGGGCAGAAATTATGAGCTTCTCTGTGTGCAGACAAATGGGTGTGGAGCTACTGAGATACCACACATGCACTGCCTCTCTCACATCTACTCACAGCAGGACACACAGCATCAGTTTGGTTCACAGCTACTGTGTTTGGAGAGGGAAGTGGCAAATCAAATATCCTTCTCAGTTCTAGCTTATGGCAGAGCCAGCAGTTCTGAGCAAAGCTTCATAGCAATGATGTCTGGTCCTGGAGGAGGGAAACTCAGTGAATAACCAGCAGAGCATCTGCTATTTGCCTGCAAGGAAATCACTGCATAATCATCTTGCAGGATAAAGCACACACCTGCTTACACAATTCCATGTGCGTGTCACAGAATTCAATCTTAGTACTGAAGTGAGGAGGACAGTATTTAAAAATCAGTCATTGCACAGGTTAAGCTTTCCCTCTCCTCCTCTGAGGTACCAGATGAGGCTAATGCAGGGAGCTTTTTGTAGCAACTCTGAATCTACACTCAGACATTTTCTCAGTATTACTTTTTCCTGCCACTCTCCCTGGAATTACATGTACACGTGAGAATCCATAGCCTAGAAATCCAGGTATCTTTAGCACAATTCAGCAGCATCAAAGGTGATGTACCAGCCCACAGGACTGGTGCCAGTCCAGAGCCACTGCCTGTGTCCCCTCAGTGCTTTTACAGAATCCCAGTTTCCACAATGAGCAACCTGTTGGAGACAATCAAAGCCACATTAAAGGCTGCTGCATTATGTGCCCAGTGGGGAAACATGACCATTGGTTCTGAAGCCTGGTGGACAAGTTGAGAGATTTGGTCAAAGTTTTGGCTCCAAAATAAGACCAAAGGCATTCCCAGTTAGTATCACCATAACATACTGTTTCTAAAATGCTAGAACTGGGAACACTAAGAGAAATTAAATGAACTCACAGAAATTGCTAAAAGCTGCCACTGTTATCACTCACACATTAAGAGAAGGGTATGAATCAAAACTGAGAGTATTCTTCCCCAACTAGAAGACAAAGTTCTGCAAAATTTCAAAATCCTCACTAATTTAAAATGGCATGCTCTCTCTACATTCAAACTTGACACCCCAAACAAAAACATCTTTACATTTCTAAGAAAAAAACAATGTAGTAGAAGTAGATACTTTCTGGTTAGCAGCATATGATCTAGCAGTTATAGCTCAAACCCACATTTTCTGGAATTTCTCACCCATAAAACAGACATCTGTACACAAAATACACTATTATACTTAAAATGTCTCACTAGTTATCATCCCATTTCTGGTGCCAAGGAAAAAAAAAACAAACCCAAACCATCAGAACCACCAGCCAAAGGCTGCACCTGCAGCACAGCTCTAAATTTTACTCAATTTTTCCTTAATATTCTTCAGAGAACTCTGCCCAACTCCAAAAGACACCCAAAGAGAAAGCAACCTGATAAGCACCATATACAGCAAAAGGAAAATTTAGATGCTTATATGAAAACATAACCCAGAAAGAGAGTGGGAGGAAACTCCATCCTTTAGTTTCACAGGATTCCCTAACACCTTCTGACTCTCTGCATTTATTTCTACCTGTATCTCTTGCAAGATAAAACATTAGTAGAGGTTTTCACACTCTTTGAGGCAGACATTAACATTTCCATCAGCATTTCATCCAGTGTTGCATTAGCCCTTGCATTAAGTTTGCTTTCTTCACTACTAAAGGCATCTATCATCAGTTCTTAGTACACAGCTTTTCAGCTGCATGGTATATGTCATTTTACAAAAGGAGGATAAGGAGATCTAGAAAACCTCAGCAGCCTAAAGAACTGTTAAAGAGGCAGCAACTGAGAGCCCCAACATCCTGATCCCTGGGGTTCAAGACAGCATCTTCTACAGGATCTTCATAATCCCATGTCTTTTTAAAGAGAGCACAGAGTACAATACAGCCAACAGCTGCAAAATGGCATCTTGGAGTGCCAGTGCCCACAATAGCTGAGTTACAGATGTAACAAGATATTCCTGTGCTGAAGAGGGATTACTCTTTTGGAAGGTTTAAATGAAATCCCTCTAACTTGCTTATGAATTATAACTGTCTATACTACTGGTTTTAATTTGAAGACAGAAATAGTATTCAACACTTAAAAATAAAAACCTGTTGAATCCTAACATAATGTACTTTTACTTATAAAGAGACATGAAGCTCACCTTTTAAACTCTTCTGTATACTGTTATTCCCTTTTAGGAGCTTGGACCATTTTATTGCTCTTCTAGTGAGTACCACTAGGTATCTGGAAAAGAATGCTTCATAGGATGCATAATCAAAGTCTTCTGGCCTCTCAAACCCATATGGATCAACCCTACAAAATAAAAAGAATTCCTATAAAAATGTTTCTACATACCTACAGCTGAAGAAAAAAAAAAAAAGCAAGTATGCTTTAAATAACTTCCAGCTGCTATTTCTAAAAGCAGCTCAAGTCTCCCTCCTCCCAGCAAAAGCCTACTTTACACAAACTGTTACACTCCATTTAGCATATCAAAGCTGTTTAAATAAATTAACTTAAACATGCACCGTTCAGTCAGTTTCACAGATTCACTGTTTTTTTAAGTAAGGAGTTTTTGGAGCAAAGGACCCATTGTGTGTGAAACTGACACAAAATTATGGCCACATAAAAGTCTGGGAGGTATTTTTCTCCACAACACAGGCGAACAGTTGAAAAGTATGAAGTATAGCACAACAGCTCCAATATGGCCTGAATTCTCTTTCCAGACAGCTCTGTGCAGAAAAATGACAACAGAAAGTACACATGTAACAAGTTACAAAGGTTATTTTTAATAAGGTAACTTCTGAAATTGTCTCCATGAAAATATACAACATGGAAAAAGACAAATCCTTGTGTCAAGCTGTCTTCTTCATATGAGTACCAAAATGCTTATTCTTTTATCTTTACAATTGTTCAAAGTTACAGCACATTATTTCAGGCAACACAATAATGACACAGTATCAGAACTGCGCAGGTGATTCTGTTCTAATATATCAACTCACCTTGCTAAATTATATTTATGGCAACTTCCCAGGGTGCTCCATACCTGCAAATTATCACCTGAGTACAGGACATGAATGGGCTTTACAGAAGTTAAACAGGCAGAGGGATCTGTCCAGTCAGACAAGGTTTCAGGACAGACTTCAGGATTTAACTTCCCGAAACACTGCCTGTTTCATTCATGGCGAAGGAATCTGGCCATGGAGCAGCACTGGCACAGCCTTGGGAAAACTGGCCCACGGGAGCGTCACAGGTAGTAAAGCATGAATCAGATGAGGAACAATTAAATATTCAGAACCACAAATCGTTATTACATTGTTGGCTGTTTAGAAGAGCACCTTAGTACTCATTGTCAAATCTGACACGTAACCCACAGGTGTAAAAAGCACCGAGACCCCCGACACAGGTTTCTCTGAAGACACGGAACATGAAACCACACACATACACAAAACCCCCTCACACGTCCATCAACACACATCTCTTATTTACGACTGCGACTGCCCAGGCAGCAAGTACAGATTAATTTCATGCTCCACTCCATTCCGAAGGTAGAAGGGGAAAACAAAGAGGGAGGACGCAGGGTTTTAGGGAAGCCGCCTTCCCCGGCTGCCCTCGGGCAGGGAAGGTTGCGGCGGCCGCTCGGTGCCCTCAGCCAGCAGCCGCGCCCGGGCCGTTCCGTGGGGGCTTCCCGCGGCCGCAGCCCCCGGCAGGGCCGGCTCCGAGCGCCCGGGGAGGCGCAGCTCGCCCTCCGTGCGCGGCCGGCGCGGTCCGAGCTCAGCTCTGCCCGTAGCCCTACCTGTACGCCCAGTCCCGCCCGTCCTCTCGCCTCGCCATCGGCCGCCCCGCTGGCGCCCGGCCGGGCGGGCGCTCCCCAGGCCGAGCAGCGCCGCGGCCGCGGCCCCGCGCCGAGCTCCGGCTCCTCAGTTCAACTCCCTGCCGCCCTGCGAGGGGCGGGGGCGGCCGCCGGGCCCGCCCCGTGCCCGTGCCCGGGCCGGCAGCGGGCAGGGAGAGCCGGGCAGGGCAGGGGAGGGGAGGGGAAGGCAGAGGAAGGCAGAGGAGGGCAGGGCAGGGCAGGGCAAGGCAGGGCAGGGCAGCTCCGCGCCCTCGGGGCCGAGCCGCCTTCCTTGCCCGGCCAGCTCGACTGGGAGACTCGGGTCTGAGGGTGATCCCGGCTTATATTTGTGCACTTCACAGTTTGCTCATATCTTGGGGGAAAAAAAATAAATGCAAATGTTTTAGCACGAGGGAAATATCTCACTAGTACGAGGGAGAGTGCTTTCAGGTACAGCTCTTCAAACCCAAGGAATTTTCCCATAACCAGGAAGAAAAGGTTGTTGTGTTACTATTTAAGTTCACTTGGTTGGTTTGGGAATGTTTTTCCCCAAATCACCACAATCTTCTTTTAAATTTTCCCAAATTATTCATTGCAGTCATGATCACAGACTATTCTGAGTTGAAATGGACCCACAAGGATCATCAAACCCAAGTCCTGGCCCTGCAGAGGACACCCCAAGAGCCCCACCATGAGCCTGAGAGCATTGTCCAAATGCATCTGGAGCTCTGTCAGGCTTGGTGCTGAGACCACTTCCCTAGGCAGTCTATTCCAGTGTCCAGCCATCCTCTGGGTGAAGAACGTTTTTCTAACACACTGAAATATTCCCAACTTCAGCTTCTGCTGATTAGTTTCTACCAAAAACTAACATTCATTTAGATATTATTTAAATAATAAATAGCGGATTGTTAAACATGTCTTGTAATAATACAGAAAATTCTATTTTAAAAAAATTGGCTTCCCTGTTTCCAGAATCCACCTCTAAAATTAGCACACTGTTCTTCATCTTTAGAGGTCTTGAACAAAGGCCGAAGCCCACAAGGACTCAGCCTTACTGACTGTCAGCAGTTTCATTCATAACACACCGCAAAACAGAAGGGAGAGAGCAAAATTATATCCCTGCTTGTCCTTTTTTGAATAAAGTTCTGACTCTGCACCCAGCAAAGTGCTTGGAAAATTACAGCTACTGCTGGGGAAACATTATCTTGTTCAGCCAGCAAGTAAGAGTTGCTGCAGACAACAGATGGGATTTCACAGGGGAGATCAACAGTTGTTCCAGCACACCCTTCAGGAAAGCTACCTTCCCTCTGCGGGATCACAGGCGATCACCCACACAGACATGTAAAAGTAGTTCGGCTCCAATGGCAAGGGAAAGAAAATAAAGAGGTTTGTGTTTGTTTAACTGACGCTGCAGCGCTGTGAAAATTTGTGATTGTTCAGCAAACGTAATTACCTTTTTTGTGCGGGAGGGCGGGAGGGAGTTCTGTGCTTCAGCGGGCATGGGGCTCCTCCTGCGGGAGGGTGGTGCTGCTCCGGTTACCGTGCGGCCCCAGGGGCTGGCCGGGGCACCAGCAGAGCCGGAGCGGGATTGCAGCCCAGCCCCGAGAGCCGGCCGGGGCCGTGCCAAGCCGGGATTGACGCGCTGCCAGCGTTGCCTTGGCGGAGCGTAGGCAGAGCACGCTCAGCAAACAGCTCTGCCCTGCGACATGGCCACGCTCTCACAGAAAATCCTTGGCAGAGGTGTGAATGGGCGGGAACGTTGTCCCACGGAAGAAAAGGAAGCCTCAGTTAAGCAGAATATCTTCTAAATCCTGAAGGCACAGGCTTTTTTAGGTAATAGAGTTATACTTCATCTGTCAACATCAGGCTCTTTGGTGCCTTTAAAATGGAGGCATCAAAAGTTCCCTGCAAACAGCAGATTGTTTCTGTGATTAATTAAGGTACATCTGCTGTGCATCAAGGGTAGCCTTGTCTATAAGATAGTGTCCTTTTATTCAAGCCTCAAATTTTATCAACAGTTTCTGTTGCGCTAACACAAACACAACTGTGTGGCTGACTCAGATTTGTGCCTGTTACACACAAAAACTCCCATTAACAATGCTTAGGTTATTAATTGATTAATAGAAATAATTCCTAAATTTCAGCACAATTATTGGATCCCCATATTTTATATGAGCCAGCCCACTGGCAAGAGAGAATACCTTGGTTGTCCTTCCCAGGGTATCAATGCTGCTCTCTTCTGGGCAGATATCATGTTGCTTTTAAAGGCATTCAAAGAAACTAATTCATAAACCCTTGAATCTGAAAACTGCTTTGGTGGTGTGATCAGCAGAAAAAGATACTATTTACTTTTGATCCTTTGCTTCTGAAGGAGCTGGTGACAGTGGCAGAGTTCAAAAGGGTAGGCTTAGTTCACATTCAGAACAGTGAAGCTCACAGCCTTCCTATCTGCCATCTGGTGCAAAAGGAAATACACTTTATATATAAAGTTCTCCCCACCCCCTTTTTGCACCTGAACCTTATCCCTGAGGTTTTTATGTTACGATGAATGTTTTTGGTAGAAATTCTCATGGTTCTGCTCCCAGAGTAAAATAGTGACTCCCTTAAAATAGTGACTTCCCTTTAAGGGTAGGCATTTAGACATGCTCCCTGCAAAGGCAGATGAAGACAGCAGATGAGTGTTTCACAGGCTGAGGCATTCAGAGCTTTGCTTGTCTCATACCCTGCATTTTAGTGAGCAAGGCTTCCATTCTTGTGTTTGCAGAGCAGTTGCTAAATAGCAGGATGATTCTCAGCCTTATCAGGAATTATTCTGGAGTGGCTTTATGCTTCCTAACACTGTGATATATGTGCTACGTCACCTATGTTTGATGTATCAGCAGTGCTGAAATATGGTTCAGCTACTCATATACCACCCCACAGCCATTTGTTACTCTTAAGACCAGAAGTGGAGAAGAAGCACCAGGAGAAAATCCTCAATAATATTTGTGCTGGAAGTATTCCTTTGACTGCCTGTGGGAACGATAAAGATTCTTTATCTATTCAAGAATGACAGAAATTTATTTATTATTTTGAATATCAGATGTGTGTCTGGGGTTTTTTCCCCTGAGGCTCTTTTTTGCCGGCTTCAGGGAGGCCAAAGAAGAGAAATTGTTAGGGGAAAGAAAAGCACTACAGGACTGAGAAAGAATAAGTTGTGTGTGAATATAGGTGTACATGGATATAGTGTGCCTAATATTTTTAAAACAGCATGGGTGAATCTGTTCATAAGAAATACCAGTAAGAAGCACCCTTTCCAGCAAAGGCAGCAGCTCTGCTTTTTCAGATCCAGACAGGAATTTAAACTTTTAAAAAAACCTTACCTGCTTACAAGATGGTTTAATAGCCCCTTGTAAAAAATATGAATGCATCAACATGGAAGAAGAGATAAAAAGATAATTCTCACTACAGACTGGGTGCTGTAGTATCCTAAATAAAGGATGAAAGTCCCACAGCATACATGGCTTCCCTAGCTCATGTGATTTTCCATACAGCCACTCATCTTTGTGTCTGTACTTGGTTAACCATGCCACACAAGTGTACCCTGCTTCCTCGCAGCTCTGTTTTTTGGCTGGAGCTTTCTTCCATGACCTGAAATAAATCTGCTGATCTGCTGCTCCATACTTGGGGAAAAACAGTTAAGGTTAAGTAGATTTGGCAGTATAGAGTATCCAGTAAGAAGTAAACACTGTGTGTGTGTGTGTGTGTGTGTGTGTGTGTGTGTTTATATATATATATTATATATAATCATCACATCCAGACGCCTTGAGTTCCTGTTACAACCAGCCACCTACCAAGTTTAGTCAATCCTCACCTACATATGGATTAAGGCTCTCAATCCATAATGAAATGTAATGAAATGCTGAACTTGTTCCATGTTTTTGTCCCAGCAAATTGCATCATGCTTACATAATTGTAGTCTGCAGGCCTGATTAAACCTGTTCACGTTGAATTGTTCCATCAGCATTCGCTGAACTTTAGAACAGACTGCATATCAAGGACAGAAATGTATTTTTAAAGTTAATTTCCACTATTCCCTAAAGGCTTCACAGCTTCATGTCTATGAAGGTTACTGGCTGTAAGGACGAGTTACATCCACGTGTAGTCTGGGAACCGCCAGTATTTTGATTATTCTTGGTATGACTGTGGCCCTGGGAGTCAAAGCATACTGATAACTGCATCTATAAAAAGGAGCTCTAAAGCTTGCTGCATAGCACTGCAGCTGCCTGGAGAATCAACATTACCCATGGAAACCTCTGCAGAAGGGTTTCTGCACCCAGCTGCCAACCTCCAGCTGCGTCACAAAAGAAGGCTCAAGGCTGTAAGTGACAATGCTGGAAACAGCAGGGGAAGAGAAATTATATGGTAGTGCCCTCAGTGTGAAAAACACAGCAAAATTATATGTCAGAAGTGATATGGGAAAGGCACTTGAACATTATTAGCAGGAAGCGTTCCTAAGGCAGGGACAAGGGTGTCCTTAGGAAAAAGGTCAGCAGCTATCACAGATCACTAACCCAGCAGTGTGGAACTGAGCAGAGCAGGAGGGAAATTAATGAATCTACCTTAGGTCAAGCTGCAACTCTGTAAAACATTTTTGTTATTCAGCTGACAAAGTGAAGTATTTTCGAGATGGCTTTGTTCTGTTTATCTTGTTTTTCCTTATCTACTTGAGTGATCATGAGGGATGTGCTGAAAGCCCTCTAAACCATGCTGATGATGTTTGCCCTCCTGGCTGCATGAGTACAAGGCTTATAACTGGACTTTGACATTTCATAGGGAGAGATGGTAGGCAAGATTGGAGATTATTAACTTCCTACTTGTCCCATCCCCTTTTCTTTCTTATCCCCAATTGTGAAGGTACCCTGCCTAGCAAATCTGGTAGCAAAAATATCTGCTGATTAGGGACGGGGTTTAATTTGGATGTTCTCTGTCTGCTATGACTTCACATTTGTTCCTAGTTGAGAAAAGTTAAGGCAAACCTTGTCCTGGCCTTTGATGGCT